CTTTGTGTTTTGCACCACTACTATCAGTAGCTTCCCAAGCAAGTGGGCCAAGAGGTTTAATTAGAGTTACAAGCACATTTCCAATCTGTGGTAAATTAACTGTGACATGTTGTCCTGGTTGTAATGTTAGTGAACATTTTCTTTTGTTGGAAGGGGGAGAACAAAGCTCGGCTTTTGCAGAGAATGCTTGGCTTACAGGACTCCCAGCAGGTCCACGCCAGTTATTCAGCTGGTGAAGTGTTTTGGGAAGTCGAGTGTCCCACTGTACCTCGGGTGGTTTAAGGCTTTTTTTCAATAAGCCATTGGCTCTTTCTGCCATCCCATTTGATTGAGGATAATAGGGGATATGAAACACCCATTCAGTTTCTTCCCACTTTGCCCATTCTTGCACTTTTTTACATGTAAAATGTGAGAGTAGTCACTCCAGATGACATCAGGAGTAGGCAGGCTTGAGAGCGAAGATGATAGCCCTCATATCGTTTTTCATCCATCGGCTTTCTGACACCCAGTCTCCGTAAGCAAGCCACAGACTACTTCTGCTCCTGCAAGGATATATCCATATCCTGCAGAGGATTTAAATGGCCTGATATGATCAGTTGGCCACATAGACCACAAAATTTTCCCTTGATTGATATGTAGAGGTGCTGCTTTAGCAGGGTGATTCATTTGCAATTTCAATTTACATAGGGGACATTCTGTAAGAACAGTTTCACAAGTTTTTCTGCTTAAAGGCCAACCTCGACTTTGCAATGAAAAGTTCTTCTTGGCCTGTGTGACCTGATTGCTGATCTAACCACTCCTCCTCAGGGTCTAGCGTATTCTGTTTTCATTTCCCTAATTCTGGCTAAGCCATCTACTTGTCGGTTCCAATTTCTGGCTTGTGTGTTGTCTTTGGCATGTGCCTTTACCCATGCCATACTAAATGGTGTTTTTTCTACCTGTGTGTAGCAATAGTTGCTAATCTTCAGTTCTCCAAACTGGGGATCTATTTATTTCCCAATTTAAGACCTCCCATTGACTGAGCCATTGGGTGGCACCTGCCCATAGGGAATAGGAATTGACATAGGCAGCTTTTGCTTGATTTTGTGCTGCTAGAACAACTGCTTTTAATTCTCCTACTTGTGCACTGTGTTGCCCTCTTCTGTTGTTTACTGGTGTTAATTTCTGATGTGGCAGCGCTGGATCGCCACTGGCCATTTATTCTTTTTGCTGAGGCAACACTAAGCCAGGTGACCTCAGTTGGTGTTTCCTTAGTGAAGAGAGGTGCACTGAGGACTGGTGAAGGTTTAAATGACTGTTTTGGTGCTAGTGGATCTGCATTTATAGGCACGTGAAATTTGGAGATTTTTTGTGTGTCCCTCAGTCAATTGCATTTTATCTGCTGCTCCCACCAGGTAGGCATACCATTTCCAGGTGGTGGGTTTCTGTGCAATTCCTTCAGGAGGAGTAGTTCCTTTTAGCACTGTTTCTAATAAATTAAATGGTCCTCTTGCTTGAACTGGTTGCTCCTGACGTATTTTGCCAACTTGCTTACCTGCTTGAACAAAGGATAAAAGTATCTCTTCCCATTCAGAGTATCTTTGCTCTGTTTCTTTAAATGTGGTTGAACTGAAGAACAGTGGTCTCTCTGGTCCGTCCAGGACAGTTTGAAATAAATTACAGCAGTAAGTATCATGTTCCGCAAAACCCCATTCCACTATAACAGGGTCACGGGAGTGTATGGTCCCAGTGATTCATATGTTTTTAATTCTGGTATTAGGGTCATGACCACCTCCTTATGCCCCAAATGCCATTTCCATGTTTTTCCCATCTGTAAAAGTGAGTACAGTGGATAAGCAATTACAGAAAATCCAGGTACATGTTTTCTCCAATATCCTACGGTACTCATAAGTTGTTGGAATTCTTTTCTAGATTGGGGCATTTGTAATTGTTCTGTTTTACTTAAGGTGTCCAGTGGAATTGCTGCACTACCTGCAATCCACCAAGTACCTAAAAATTTTACCTCTTTGCTTGGTTCTTAATGTTTTTCAGGTGGAACTTCAACTTCTGCATTGTGTAATTCTTGCCACACTGCTTCCCCCACCTTTTCAGGGGGAGTCATTCTGATTAGAATGTCAGATATATATTAGTATGGTTTTACATCTGGAGGGAGTGAGATTGTCTGTAAAAGTTCAGCAAATGCAGCATGAGCAGTTGTAGGTGAGTGTTTATAACCCTGTGGAAGTCTATTAAAGGTACACTGTACACCTTTCAAGTAACTTCAAATTTCTCTTTATCCTTTCCATGTAAGGGGACCATAGAGAACATACCCTTTACATCTAATGTCACCATCCGGGGGCTTGCAGCTGCTTGCAAAGTAGCTGTTAAGTTTGCAATGTTTGGTACAGCGGCTGTTAGTGGAGCTGTATTACCATTTAGGCACCAATAATCAACAGTTAAACACCACCTCCTATCTGGTTTTTGGACCGGTGCAGCCTGCTGTAGGTGACCCTGCTTCGGCAGGGGGGTTGGACTAGATGACCCACAGAGGTCCCTTCCAACCCCTACTGTTCTGTGATTCTGTGATTCTGTGAGTGGGTTCTGGAAATAATCTGTCGCTTTTTCCAAATCAGCTATCACTTGAGAAATTCCAGCCCATGCTGCAGCAGAAACTGGATACTGTGGGGCATTGGTAATCTTTGAATCACGAGTGCGGGAGCTGTGTGGGGCACACATGCTGTAGCTTCCCAATTTTTTTTTTAGGGTTAGCATTGATATCTGATCCAAAAGACCACACACTGCTGTCCGACAAACACCAGGCTCATCCATTTATAACATCAAATCCCAAAATATTTTCGTTGTGATCTTTAACTGCAAAGCGAGTAGATGACATGCGTTTCTTGCCAGGGAGCCATAAATTAACTTTTACAGTTTGGGAAATAGCACTTGCTCAGTTTACACCAGTAATTTTAACTCTCTGCCATCTGTGTCGTGTACCCAGCTTCTCACCCTTTTGTTATGTCAGTACTGAAATGTGTGACCCCATACCTATGAGAAATTTTGCTAATTGTTATCAAGGTCTGACTGGGATTAAAATATATGGGCCATTATGATGTATCCATTGAGAAGATTCCACTTGCCAGACAGACCCAATTGTCATCCAGACACAATTTGTTTTTTGAACCAGGAGGGAGAAGATTTATTTGAGTCCTAGCCACCTGTAGTTGCTTTTCCACAGCTTCCCAGTCACTCCAATTATCACAAGCCCATTCATCTGAGAATGCTGGAAGTGGACTTATTCCATTCAGTGACACTACTTGCCATCCTGCTGACTACGCCAATTTGTCACGAATGAGTGGTTAGGTGACTTAAAGAATCACCATCAAAGGTGCTTGCAAGAAATTATTTTAATAAGAATTTATAAAATGTGATTTAACAAAGTTTGTTGGCAAGGTTCACTCTGCTACTTATCAAATCAATGAAATACAAAATCGAGGTAGGATTAAAATAATATGATTTATGCAGAGACTGAAGAAAGTTAGAAGGGACAAGGGAGACCCTCCTCTTGAGCCACAAGGTTCAGAACGGCCCCCCTGGCTTTCTCAGCTCCTTCTCAGAGAGGAGCCTAGGTGTGGCTGGATCCAGACCTGGCCTTAGACTGTAGCAGTTTATGTCTAAAGGATATGTCTGGCAGCAATTTAAGGTTTGTTCAGTTAGAGAATCACAGAAATTCAGCAGTAATTAATCATTGGTTAACTCAGTATTTAAAGTGATTAAAAAGAATTTGCAACAGTCACAGTAAGAGGATATTATGATTTGAATCAATTCACACACATGCCCGCAAACAATATGCCCAGATGAAGGTACCTGTTAAAAATCCCCAAGTTCAGTGGAATACTCACTTCAGCTGATTTTCATCAACAGGCGAAAGTGAAGCCTCAAGGAGTGAGGGATCCCTGTAGTTCAGCCCGGGTAACCTCAAACTTTAGTCTGAAGTGCTCTGAAAGGCGTCCCACTCTTCCCTACCCAGATACTGGGCACAGCCTGCAGCGGTCCAGCAGAGCTCAAAGGACCTCTCTGGGCACCGCTGTTTATAGGGTTGCAAGATGACTATAGTCAGTGAATTTCCATCCTGGCCACAATCTGGACTGGTAATTACTGGAACTCTCAAAGTTCCAGTAACGCTCATACTGGTCCAGGTAGAGTATGTTCCAAAGCTGTCCAGGGATGACACAGTTCCCCACCTTGGCCAGGCAACCAGAGCTCCTGGTATGGTCAGTGCTATTCTCCACCTCAGCCCTGCAAGAGTTCCTGGTATTGTCAGGGGACACTTAACCGCCAAACTCATTGCACCGAGGCAAAGACTTGACAGGAATTCCTGAGACAGTAAAGCAGTGCAGGAGAGGTGGGCCGAGCTGTACCACCACAGTCCTACCACTGCACCCCTCATGAGAGGTAGGATGACAAGCAGTCATCACAGAATAATTAATCCCATTACAACCTCCATCAGCCACAGAGTCCCATAATCTGAGCATGTCAGAAGCTAGCACGAGCATTGCCTATGACTGACAGCTTTCCTTGCAGACTGCCTGCAGTTCCCAGTTTGAATCAGGGTTGGGAACTCTGACCTGAAGGGCAAAATAATTCTTGCAGAGAACCAAAATATGCTAAGTTAACTTTTCTGAAGTAGGTACTCTTAACTTGTTGGATAATGAATATTTGTTTTGTCAAACTTTAGACACATCAGAACATGAAAGACAAACTTTAATAATCAAAATTAACTGAAAAGTCAAACAGGCACTTACATTAACAGTAAAGAAAGCTTCATTACTTTATGAACATCATAGCAGCGTGCTTGGAATTGCATTTGACTGAGCTTTGTTGCTGTGAATAATACAGCTCATGCACAGGTATGCATGTATGTTTTTTACACTTTATAAAGTATTCACTGAATACTACCAACATATATACACACTCATATACATAGTTCCAGAAGATTTAGAAGATTTTTAGACAATGGTTCATTTCTGCTCATCCTTTGGAAGAGGTCTTCTGAAGAGAAGAATATGTGGTTCTGTGGAAATAAAATTGAACAAAGTGTCAGTCTGTCCCCCAGGTCTCAGTTACAGGGATCTCTTCTGTTTAAGAAGGCTTGAACAATAGTTGAAGCTTGCTGTAAAATAACAAACAGATTAAGATGACAAGTCCACAAATATGGCTGTATGTGTAGTATTTAGAGAACAACTTTGCAGTAACCTTACAACAGTCAAACAGGTGCTTTGCAAGTTTTATACCAAATATTGGCAGTATCAAATTTAACATACTTACAGGAAGAAAGTACTAGGAAAAAAAATACAACAGTATTTTAAGTGAGTATTGGTACTGTCTTGCTACATTAGGCTATTTGATGAGCTTTGTTACTGTAACTTAGACTAACAAACTGCTGATGCTGTCCTTGTTAAGTATATAGTGTCAGGCATCAGCAAAAGCCACTTCAGTTAATACAGCCAGCTTATATTATTATTTGACTTGGTTGTAAACACCTCCAAAAAAGCCCAAAGTATCAAAGTTGCCCAGCTGAGAGAAACACGGGAATGTTACTCTACTTTCTTCACCTGGTTCTTCAGAAACTTGGAACTCCATGCCATTGCAATTCATCTATCACCAGTTACTTTTCAGTCAGGCTTGCCAATGGTAAGTTATCTAGAATGGCTGTTCTCAGAACATCAGTTTTAGGACTTCACACCCCATTAATTGAATGACTCATGCTGCTTTTAGTAGGCTGCATGGCTAGAGTTCAAAGTATACTGTAGACTTTTCAGAACACTAATACAAAACCTTGTCTATGTGAGCATACATTACATTTTTGCACAGAAAGCAAGTGTGTCAGCTTTATGATTTAAAGAAATGCTGCTACGTAAAGCTTGGTTCAGTCACTGAGATACCAGTATTATTCAAGAGCTCACACGAAGCCAACTTCCATAGGCAGAGGTAGGAATGTTTTCCAGTCAGTCACGTTTTGTCTGTTGATAGACCACACACACCTAGGACAAGGCTAGCATTTTGCCGTTCTGGGAGCAAGATGTGAAGGTTTTAAATAGAGGCTGTTATGTTGCCTTTGTTGACAAACAGCTGAAATAGCAAGGAGATAAAGAGTCTAAACATTCGGTAGTGAATTCCAGCTAGATTCCACTGCAGGAGCAATTATGTATTACATACTTCAGCTGAGCACCAGGCAGTTGATATTTTTGATTCTCTTGTTCATCTAACTCTGTTCAGGTGTGCTTACCTGGCTCATGGATCATATAGTGAACCCAGCCAAGACTTTGCTGAACACCAAGTCGTCTCCACTCTTCTTCAGACATTAGATGGGATTTTGGCACTTGTTTTAGAAGTTCTCTCGGCAGCATCACATGCCTGTAGACACAATTGTTAAACACATGCTACATACACTAATGCCCATGTCTACACCAAAAGACAGTAAGCAAGTTCAGTTATGAATACTAGAATTCCCTATAAAGCAGTGTAGGGTGCTGACTGACATCACTAATTTGATTATGAAGCATCTGTCCCAGAACCCAGTTTTATATTCACTTTGTCTACTAAACATTACATCTGTCTTGCAACTGTGTATTAAAACAGTCGAGACTACAGCGCTGGTTTGGAAAGACAGAATAGCAACATCACTTTGATCTGTCAGCTGAGGAGAAACATGCAGCCTGCTCTAAAGTTCCTTTACCACTTTAACAGAAAGCCAAGCATTCGGTCTTGCTTTGGAGATCGCAAGTCAGCTGGTAACAGGGACACTCTTACATCTGTCTTGCAACTGTGTATTAAAACAGTCGAGACTACAGCGCTGGTTTGGAAAGACAGAATAGCAACATCACTTTGATCTGTCAGCTGAGGAGAAACATGCAGCCTGCTCTAAAGTTCCTTTACCACTTTAACAGAAAGCCAAGCATTCGGTCTTGCTTTGGAGATCGCAAGTCAGCTGGTAACAGGGACACTCAGATCCCTACACAGGAAAAAGAAAACCAAGCCCGGCTCCGGGGAGGCGCGGCGGACCTGGCCCCCCTCCCCCC